CGCCTGCGGCGTTAATGACTGTGCCTTCTCGTTCATGACCAAGCCGGTCTGAAAGACCGGCATGCAGCTGTCCACGGCGGTTCGGTCGGTCGCCTCATTCTCGTTTGGCTCCAACTGCAGCGAGAGACTGCAAAGCAGAGCGTCAGCGAAAACAAAGAACTCGATCGACCACGCGTTTATCAGTGCCTTACTTGTACAAATCTTCTTCGAGGAATTTCTGAAGTTCATCGATATATCGAATGGTCTTTAGGTAATCTTGGATATAAGCGATGCTTACAAGCGATTCTAAATGAAAACAGATATCCACTTAAAACATTTCTTTGACCAAGCGCAGAAAAGGGAAGCTTAATTTCATAATACAAAGCTGTCGCTTGTACCCGTATTCAAAACTGCAAGAAACGGATCTGAATAGAATATAGTCGTCTCAGAGGATTCTCCTGTCTTGTTACTTTACTATGTTCTGATCAGTTTTGGCATACAGGTTCTAGCTAACTACAGTCCAGCAAACTTCAGATCTGCACTCACAATTTTCATTCAGAATGGAATCAACACCTGTAACGGACACAATCTGATACAACGAAATAGTGTATACCGTAACTCACATTAGCGCTTCTGCCTAACGGTAATCGCTCCAATCTTTGCCAGGCAAAATACGAAATTAAAGTTTGTTTCAGATGCTGACTTTCTCTACCAGACCTTGCAGCCTGGTCCTACACTCTGCAAAGATAACTATTTCGTCAGTATTTCAGACCTCTGGAACAGCATTTTTTCCAACCTCGAAAGGCTCAGCATATTGCATCACTGATCTCATCACTATTTCCTCGGGAATGTTGAAAAAATCTAGACGACAACGGACAACTCCTTATTACAAAGTACTGACAACGGTAGCGTAAAATTTCTGCAAAAAGCTTTTAACCGAGTTATAAAGAACTACCAGCCTGTTTTACAGATGACAGACTTCTGCGGTTTTTAACATGCATACATTATTTTAAGTTTAAAAGGGAAAAGCGCGCGTGCTTATTACGTTCAAACATGCACTATCACGTACCATATTCAGAGCTTTGGTAATCAGCTAATACACGTAATATGTTGTTCATCATCGTTTGACGTTGGCTGCTTTCCAGACCACCGGAACACGGATGAGCAACGTTGATGTACACAAGATCGGTTAAATAAAGACCTGAAAAGAAGGGT